TCCTTATAACCTATTTTCTATCTTTACAAGAGTCAGATCAGACCAAAAATTGTGTATTGCTGCCATATCTGGTCTGGAGCTGCCCAATCCTCACTTTCCAGCTTGTATCACTTTAAAAAAGTACCTGACCTTATGCCCTGCTCTATCTTTACAAGAGTCAGATCAGACCAAAAAATTGTGTATTGCTGCCATATCTGGGCTGGAGCTGCCCAATCCTCACTTTCCAGCTTGTATCACTTTAAAAAGTACCTGACTCCTTATGCCCTGCTCTATCTTTACAAAGAGTCAGATCAGACCAAAAATTGTGTATTGCTGCCATATCTGGGCTGGAGCTGCCCAATCCTCACTTTCTAGCTTGTATCACTTTAAAAAAGTACCTGACTCCTTATACCCTGCTCTATCTTTTACAAGAGTCAGATCAGACCAAAAATGGTGTATTGCTGCCATATCTGGGCTGGAGCTGCCCAATCCTCACTTTCTAGCTTGTATCACTTTAAAAGTATCTGACTCCTTATACCCTGCTCTATCTTTTACAAGAGTCAGATCAGACCAAAAATTGTGTATTGCTACCATACCTGCGCTGGAGCTGCCCAATCCTCACTTTCTAGCTTGTATCACTTTAAAAAGTACCTGACTCCTTATGCCCTGCTCTATCTTTTACAAGAGCAGATCAGACCAAAAATGGTGTATTGCTGCCATATCCGGGCTGGAGCTGCCCAATCCTCACTTTCTAGCTTGTATCACTTTAAAAGTACCTGACTCCTTATACCCTGCTCTATCTTTACCAAGCGTCAGATCAGACCAAAAATGGTGTATTGCTGCCATATCTGGGCTGGAGCTGCCCAATCCTCACTTTCTAGCTTGTATCACTTTAAAAAGTACCTGACTCCTTATACCCTGCTCTATCTTTACAAGAGTCAGATCAGACCAAAAATTGTGTATTGCTGCCATACCTGCGCTGGAGCTGCCCAATCCTCACTTTCTAGCTTGTATCACTTTAAAAAGTACCTGACTCCTTATACCCTGCTCTATCTTTACAAGAGTCAGATCAGACCAAAAATTGTGTATTGCTGCCATATCTGGGCTGGAGCTGCCCAATCCTCACTTTCCAGCTTGTATCACTTTAAAAAGTACCTGACTCCTTATACCCTGCTCTATGTTTACAAGAGTCAGATCAGACCAAAAATTGTGTATTGCTGCCATATCTGGGCTGGAGCTGCCCAATCCTCACTTTCTAGCTTGTATCACTTTAAAAAGTACCTGACTCCTTATACCCTGCTCTATCTTTACAAGAGTCAGATCAGACCAAAAATTGTGTATTGCTACCATACCTGCGCTGGAGCTGCCCAATCCTCACTTTCTAGCATGTATCACTTTAAAAGTACCTGACTCCCTTATGCCCTGCTCTATCTTTTACAAGAGTCAGATCAGACCAAAATGGTGTATTGCTGCCATATCCGGGCTGGAGCTGCCCAATCCTCACTTTCTAGCTTGTATCACTTTAAAAAATACCTGACTCCTTATACCCTGCTCTATCTTTACAAGCGTCAGATCAGACCAAAAATTGTGTATTGCTGCCATATCTGGGCTGGAGCTGCCCAATCCTCACTTTCTAGTTTGTATCACTTTAAAAAGTACCTGACTCCTTATACCCTGCTCTATCTTTACAAGAGTCAGATTAGACCAAAAATTGTGTATTGCTGCCATATCTGGGCTGGAGCTGCCCAATCCTCACTTTCTAGCTTGTATCACTTTAAAAAGTACCTGACTCCTTATACCCTGCTCTATCTTTACAAGAGTCAGATCAGACCAAAAATTGTGTATTGCTGCCATACCTGCGCTGGAGCTGCCCAATCCTCACTTTCTAGCTTGTATCACTTTAAAAAGTACCTGGCTCCTTATACCCTGCTCTATCTTTACAAGAGTCAGATCAGACCAAAAATTGTGTATTGCTGCCATATCTGGGCAGGAGCTGCACAATCCTCACTTTCTAGATTGTATCACTTTAAAAAGTACCTGACTCCTTATACCCTGCTCTATCTTTACAAGAGTCAGATCAGACCTAAAATTGTGTATTGCTGCCATACCTGCGCTGGAGCTGCCCAATCCTCACTTTCTAGTTTGTATCACTTTAAAAAGTACCTGACTCCTTATACCCTGCTCTATCTTTACAAGAGTCAGATTAGACCAAAAATTGTGTATTGCTGCCATATCTGGGCTGGAGCTGCCCAATCCTCACTTTCCAGCTTGTATCACTTTAAAAAGTACCTGACTCCTTATACCCTGCTCTATCTTTACAAGAGTCAGATCAGACCAAAAATTGTGTTTTGCTGCCCAATCTAAGGCGCATTACGGGAGTCCGGCTACGGTAAACGAAGGCCACCGAACTTAGGCACTACTTCGGGCTAGTGGTCCCATGACCACTGTTCAGGCACGACGCACGTCCGGCTACGGCAAACGAAGGCATTCGACGAACTTAGGCATTTAACGATTCTACGGG